GTACTTTTCTCCCTTTCTCACAATACAAGAACTCGTGGGCACTCCATGAAATTGCTGAGCAGTCAGGTTAGAACGGATAAAAGGAAGTCCTTCTTCACCCAAAGAGTGATTAACACGTGGAATTCACTGCCACAGGAGGTGGTGGCTATGGTCAGCTGCAAGAGGGGATTGGATAAGCATATGGAGCAGAGGTCCATCAGTGGCTATTAGACACAAGGTATAGATAGGAACGCTCAGGCTGGGGCAAGTGATGTTCTGTCTTCTTGGTGCTTGTGGGGGGAGGCAACAGTGGGAGGGCTTTGAGTGTCCTGGCCCCCCTGGTGGACCTCCTGATGGCACCTGGTATTTCTGGCCACTGTGTGACACAGAGTGTTGGACTGGATGGGCCATTGGCCTGATCCAGCATTGGCTTCTCTTATGTTCTTATGTTCCTATGAGTTTGCAAGCTATCTGGGTGAGTTAAAATGGAGGAAGGGAAATGCAACAGGCAAATTGAATCAGGCTGTGCCGTTGCTACCCCGCGGATATCGATTTGGGAATAAGACCCTCTCCATTCTCAGATTTCCTCCTCCCAAGGATATGAGCTTGGGATCGGGGCTGTAAAGTTAGCCTGATGACCAGACATGCAGTGTTGGTTGTCTGGTGTTTTGTGTTCTATTCTGAATTATCCGAAGCAGAATTGACCACTGCTTTGCGGTGCCTGGAGACCACACATCCTTCAAGCTGGCGAACGGCTCTGCCACCACTTCCTTGGTCAGCGGCGTAGGCCTGCTTGTTCCGTTTGAATTGCCTTCTGTGTGGTTTCATTGCGAGCTTTATTTACATGACGGGGAGGCGAGTACTAAATTGGACTGTGGTGCAAGAGGAGACGTGGGGGGAATGCGGGTGGCAAAACTCCAAGCCGCCATATTGACCTCACCTGGCAGGTAGCTCCCGTCCTTTCAAACTGACTTCCTTTCCCAGCTATCAGAGGGTTTGTTCCAGGGGGCTAGGGTTACCAACTCTGGGTTGGGAAATTCCTGG